CCGTCTCTTATGCTTAGTGAATGCCTTCTGCTCCAACTGGTGATTTTTCTGTTTGTGGTTTGTCAGTAGTCACATGTAATTTATAATTATTTGTGTAAATGGGCTGAGGCTCCTTACCATTGGTATTGACTCTTGTCCCATGGCTTAACAAAACTGAAATAGTGAAAAGTCACATTAAAAAACAGTGGGGAATTTTTAGCAAAGCCTCAAACTATCAAGGCAAATATTGTCCTGACGGCTACCTCTGCTCTAAGCTGAATCAGATCAACTGTCGCCGTGATTTGCCTGATTCAGGGCTTAACCAACTCAGTGTCAGTGGAAATCCCTTGTTGTTGGAAAACACATTTTTAAACTTGAATTTAAAAAATAATTAACTCCACTAGTGCACTCAGAAGGGACAACGAAAGCTATAGGGCCTATCATGCAACCATGCAGTGTAAATTATGGAGTAGCAACCACTGTCCTGTCCTTTTGAAACAAAAGTTTGTATGTGAAAAGAAAAAGCTTATGACTAGTGTTGCTGGGAGGCTGGCTGCCTCCTGAGCTGGCTGGAAGCAAGTACAGGGCTCCCGGGCGATGCACAAGGCTCTCGGATGCACAGAAGTGCTCGCTGTTCACTTCTGAGGCTGCAAACACACAGCAACACAAAACTGCTCTTGAAGGGTAAATGAAATGCGACAATGCAGTGGGTAAAGCCTTTTCAGTGACAGAGCTGTCACTGACTTTGGCAGAGAGAATTTGCTCTTTTATCTTCTTTCATTTATTTTTATGAGTGAGCGTGCTTGACCACATGGTAAATATGATCAGAAAGAAGGTCTCAGGACACCAGTCTGCTCCAACTGCTATCATATGCCAGGCACAAAATGACTATTACATATGTAGCATTTTCTAGAAAATCCCTATATGCTACTCCTGACAAGAGCAAAGAATATGGGCTTATTTGCATTATTTCTATAAAGCTTTATCTGTCATGACTTTGCTTGTATTCCATCCTTGGAACAAGGAGTTTGCATTAGAAAAGGGAGATGTCCTTATTGCTGTATGTGGAAATACAGGTTTTCAGAGGTGCTCTTTGAAAAAATTGAAATACTCAAGTCAAGCCTGGCTTATTTTTTGACTTAAAAAAAAAATAAAATCTAAAATTTCTGGTTTAACCTCTCTGTTCCAGAATGCCACGCAATGGATTTATTTAGTGTTAGTGTTTTATCTCCTTTTCTAAATTACATATAGGATGTGATGCCCCACACTTTCTCTTAAACTGCTAGTTTCTTTTGCCCATTCTCTTCTGTTTTCTGATGTGGATCTGACACCTGCTTTTGTATGTGCTGAATACTTTGTCTCTTAGTTTCTGGCTATCAGATCTGATGAAGAGCTTTGCCTGTCTAAATGTTGAAGATTTGTCTCAGACTTCCAAAGCAATTGCACAGGTTATGTGAAGGATTTTTATTTTCTTTCCAACGGAGTTATTCTTTATCGCATTAGATTTTTCTAACTTTGTCCTTTACAACAAGCAGCATAAAATTAAACCAATACAACTATTTTTATTTTTACTATTTTTAAATTTTAGATGTTTTGTCTGTGTTGCTTCAGGAGCTATATATTTATAAATAATTTCAAGATAAGTAATCACTGAATATCTTCTTTTTGAGCTGACTTTTTTTGAAGTATACTCTGTTAGGCCTGGGAGTTGTTATGTTATACTCTAAAGCTGAAAATATAATACCAGGGAATAGACAGATGAAATAAGTGTGTTGTATGAATGGTACAGCCACCTATTATTCTCTTTTTAGCACAGATTATGATAAAGCTGATCTTAATGTAACCAAGCCATTCATAAGTACTAATGGCTGGAAGGTAAAGCAATACAAATTCCATTTAGGAGAATGATGTCCTGAAGGGTATATGGGGGGAAAGATGCCACCCTGCATCTTTCACTTTTTGCCTTGACGCTGACTGCTGGGCATATAAGAGATGTGATACAAGAGTAAATGAGGCTTTTAATCTAACCTATGGTAGCTGCTCTTATGAATTAAATAAGGCATGATTTTAAAAAGGCTGATGACTGCTGATGAAGAAAAAATGTACGCAGGAAGATGCTGGTTTTATTCCCAGAGCTTTGCTTTCACATTTATAACAAAATCTGAAATCAGGTCAGTTGTATGCTTCCTTTTTTTGCTTATGTGGAGGCAGATCTTTTTCACACATGTGCTTTTTTTAGCGCTAAGTTCTTTATGGGTCAAATCTTAAGTAACTTAACAGCAGATTAATATTTTACTGGCTGTGTCTGCATGGTCTGTTGTGAGTTGCTCAGTCTCTGTGGTCCTGACAGTCTGAAGCCCCCAACTGATGCTGTAGGCTGCCATGGCTGAGCTAGTACACCTTTGCAAGGTTGTCTTGGGATCTGCCATGGGGTCGCTGGAAACCAGGGTGCTTCTTGCCAGGACAAGGAGAAAAGTTGGTTGGATGTGCCTGCTATGCATTATGTGAAGTCGCATACAGACAGCCAGGAAAAGCCTCTATATCTGACAAAAGAACCTTGATTAAACAAATCTGGGCTTGGTTTGCTAAACTCCTTCTGTACCAGCAAACTCTTAGTTTACTTACTACTTTTTTCACCATAATATTTCCACCATTGGTTAATATAATAAGTAACCGTTAAATCACTGGCAAAAAAACAAGGGGATTTTTTTCTTTCCAGGAAAAGTGTTTTCTGCATTTTTGGCCGCATGATATTTAGTGCAGTTCCTTGCATAGCTGCTGCAATTTGTTAAAAAAAGTAAGGCTGTAAGTTGTTCTGTTTCCATGTAATGTTACGCCACATGGAATTCCAGAGTTTGAAACTGCATCTAGTGGGATCTAGGCTGCTTTCTCTCCTTCTTTTCGTCTCTCCTTATAGCAGACTGACCTTCTGATCCCTAGTACACCTTTGCATGGGATTATATAGACTGCAAGAAACAGAATTTGACCAATGTTTTTTTAAGGTGTGCGTTACAGCTGCCAAAGACTGGAAACAATGATAATTTTCTAGACCAAGGAAAGACAATGTTTTGTAGTATTCTGCTGAATTTAAAGTTCCAGACTGGTCAGCAGCAATAAAAGTTACAGATTTTTATAGACTGCATTTTTTTTGGTGTGATATTGGATGTGTTTGAAGGGATCATCAATATGGCATTCATTCTAAGGCAGAACAGATTCATGCGTCTGTGATACATTTTATATGAAGAATTTGTTCAGTGGAAGTGGATTATGGATTTGGTATTAAGGCTGCTGCTGTGTTCTCAGAATACAGTAGAAGCTACTTCTTTTCTTCCTTGCCTTCAAAAAGAAAATGCAGTCTCTCTAACAGCATGTACCTTCTCGTTACAAAGCAAGATGTCAGAAAGCCAGAACAGATTTTTCCCTAGAAAAATTCTTTTTATTACTTTAACTTCATTTTTGTGCTTGGTTAAGGAAGTTTTGCTGTTATTGGACTCTCACACACACTCATCCCACTTTGATTTCTCCTGTACTCCAGCCTGTCAATAGTCACATTTCTGTAGGGTGAAGATGAAGTGTGAAGGAAAATGATTTGTGCCTTCTCTTTCCATTTTTTCTTGCTTTCATGTTTATACAAGGGCTGAATGAATTTTCACTGTTCTTGCATTCCAGTTTCCTGCTTATTAGTTGTTTTCCAATAGCACCTACAGACCCGCAGTGCGTGCATGGGCATCAGATTGGCAAAGGGTGAAAGAAAAGACAATGCCATTTGGGGAACTGACGCAAAGAAAAGCAGAGTGGCTTTCCTAACATCAGGCAGAATTACGGCAGAAAGCTGAAATTTGAGATAAGAAAATTCAGTTTTTCTTGAGTGTCATTGCAGACTTGTCCTGTCTTGGTGTGGTTTTGATTTTTGTAATGAAGTGTTTTTTTAACAAGGCATGTCCTCTGCATATTCTTCCCCGTCACAGGCATTAAGAGATTCAAGTGTATTCTAAAGTCACGGTCACAGACAAGTGAAATGTAAGGAAGTGAGAGAACAGAGGGTGTTTTAGTTAAATCATTCACTTGCTCACTGAGGAACTGCTAGCGTCTTGTTCCTGTTCATGGAGGCAAGTTGATATAGGTACACCTATATGGAAGGGAAAGGCAACTAGTACAGTAAACTACTTTGATCTGATAAAGTGAAATAAGCTGTACTGGGGCAAAACCATCTTACCAGTGTTTCTACCTTTATGTTGATGAACTGTTTCTTTCCTCTGTATTAGGCAGGGTCTATTTGTTGTACCGAAGTGGTCTGAGAGTAGATGTTCTGTCACTGTAATAAATTTGCTGTGGTTGTCCTGATGTCAAAATTAAGCAAAAGTGAAGTTAAAATAAAACTTGTTTCACATCACTTCCTCAAAAAGGGACAAGAGAGCTCAGAAACATGAGGCTTCTGTTGGTGTAGGTTTGCTGTCGTTCATGTAGGCTGGATTTAGGTCTGCAGCACTTTTCTTTAACCAGCTGTTGGCTTTGTTTTGACTGGGTCAGCCTCCACTCCTCTATGGTTGCTGTTGTGGTGGGGGCACCAGTACCAGCACATGCTGCTTGCAGAAGGTTGGTGACTTGGCTGCAGGTGTCTGTGTTCTTCCTCAGGTAGTGTGAGCTCCAGCCATCTGAAACCTACCTAATGTGCTGGGGAAAAGTGCTGGAAACTCCTCAGGAAAAAGCACAGCCGTCTCATCTACACAGCTGTCCCACCTACAGCCGAAGTACAAGAGTCAAATTTGGCACTTGGTAGTTTTATCAGTGGGACAGACTTGATTACAGCTCTTCGTCGTGATGAACAACAAGAAAAAAACCTGGAGTGGTATATGACTGGGGGAAAAGTTACTAAGAAAATACTGTCAGACTGGAAGGGCTGCCTATTTTTACTTAGAAGTCTCCTCACAGTATCTTGTAATGTGTTTATGCTTGAATGTACATCTGAGTATACAGTTGTATAATCATCTACATGATTTTCCTTCTTCCCTTTCTCACAGTGCATGCCAATTAAAGGCCTTGGATTTGTGCTTGGAGCCTACAAGTGTATTTGCAAAGCTGGATTCTATGATCCCAACATCTTCTCAGTGAACAGCTTTCAGAGTAAGTGCTTTTGCATGAGTTTTATTTTTAAAAATAGAAAAAATAAAACAGAGCTAATATTAATAATGCAGGGCTCCTTTTTGTCCTCATCAGGGTTATACAGTAAAATCCCAGTGGTTTGCAACTCTCAGATTATATAATCACTTAAGGAGTTCTAGCCCTTTGGTTTGCCATTCATGATGCTCTTGGGGATCCTGTAAAACATACTCACTTGAAGAATATTTGATTTGTAAATAAATTTAAAAGCATGAAAAGAACTCTTGCTATGGAGAAACAGAGATTTCTGGCACCTGTGCTCAAGCACAAGTACTGGGGAAATTTTCCAGTAGTTTTCTCTTTGGCCAGAGCAAACAAGAATGTCCTAGCCTCTGGCTTTGTGTAGGCTTTAATTGTTTTCATAGAATCATCATTGAATGGTCGGGGTTGGTAGGGACCTTAAGGATCATGTGGTTCCACCCCCCCTGCCATAGGCAGGGACACCTTCCACTAGACCAGGTTGCTCAAAGCCCCGTCCAACCTGGCCTTGAACACGTTTTCATTTTACTTCATTTGCAAAGGAGAATTCAAAGGAGCATTCAAATTTTAATAATTGCTGATGAGGTACTGGAAATGGGTCAGGCCTGAGAGTCTGACTGGCTCTATGATATGAACGACATACAGCCCACACTTGCCCAGGACACACATTGTGTGGTACTTAGACTGAGTTGCTTATAGTAAGGGAAACAGAACTCTGTTGATACTCAGCAGGGAAGATACATAACCTGCATGCCCAAAGCTGATGTCTGTTATTTTCATCATATGACCGAAGTGTAATCGCTGCACAGATTTTGTGCCGAAATTGTTGCAGTTACAGTAATAGAGCTCATGCTACAGTCACAGGTGTAAAGCTGTTGCTTGTAGGTGTAACAAGGCATCCTTCTCTGCCTCCTGCTTTCATGTGAATACCATCCCCAGCTTCTTCACATGATCCTTTAGCCAAAGGTTCATGTCATCAGTTCTCTGCTGCAGGAGCAGTTTGTATAAATACCTGGGGATGAGTAGCTTTCACCAAGCTTGGTCCATGACTGCGTGTATTATTTCCTGCCTTGTGTGAACCCTAGCTTTTCCTGTTCCACTACAGAAATACCTTTAATATTGTTCCACACTTAATGTGCACCCCTGTGATGATCCTAGATACAGATTCAGGAGTTTTGTACTGGTAAATCGTGTGGGATTATATGATATGGTACATATAAAATCATGCCCCCATACTACAGATCTGCAAATGAAACTTCCAAGTTCCTTCCTGTATTAGTTACTCTTGACCTCTGCTTTCTTATGTAAAATGTGATGGGGATTATAGAGGAAAGGTGAGTAACTTTTGATATTAGGAAAGCTTTAAAATTCTCTATTTGTTCACAGCCCCAAGTTCCAGATACTAAATCTTTTGACCTATGTCATGGGTTGGCCTGTTTTTTATTTATTTGATCTGGTTTGCATATAGACTGCCCAAGATAACTCAGTATCTCATATATATATGAGAGAGACATATATATCGTGTCCTGTATATATGTAGCATAAATAGCATGGTTTGTTCAACAGGTTATCTGATGAGTATTTGTTTCCCTTTTCATACTGTGGAGTCTCGCAGAAGGCAGCTTTGTGATAGTGCTTTTTCTCTTGGTTGTTTGAATCTTTTGGTAGAGTAAGGATTCTGCACTGCAGTGAGTTATGATGGAGTTGGGATTTAACTACTATATAAAAAAAAAATCTTGAATTTTTTGTCATACCAAATGCTACAGAGCACACAAAAATAATGTGGGTAGAGATCATAACAGCCTTGATCATTAGGGATGAGGATGAGATTTATTTTATATCAGCTGTCTAAAATGTGTATGCTTGGCATGTATTAGTCCCCTGGGTTTCAACTGCAGTCAACACCAAGAGCAGGGCTCCCCTGGAGGGTACTTCTGCTGCTTTAGAAAGGCAGAAATTGTCTTTAGATGGGAAAAGTAACTCTTCAGGCAAATAACCTTTATTTTCTCCATTTAGTATAGAAGGAGGAGCCTATATAGCTACCTTAGATTAGACATTTAGCCTCTGAATAGCTAACATAAAGTGAAATTGGTCTCATTAAAGTTTTTTCATGTGCTGATATTTAATTACATGATCTGGTGTGTAATTACATGATGTGTAATTACATGATCTGGGGTCACTCTGATTTGAGCATACGTTAATGAGAGCTAACATAAACATGAGTTTTGATACAGCTAGTAATAAAAAACCTCTTCAGTTCATTCAGATGCAGCTCGATCTGCCAAGCTCTACAGGTGGTTTCAAAAAGTGAACAGTAAGACAGCTATTGTGAGACTAGAAATGGCTTAAGTAATGGGAGAAAAGACAGTGGTTCAAGGAAACTTAACCCTGTCACCCAGCTGCATTCTGTAAAAAGAATAAAAGAAAAGATGACATGCTTAGAACGGCTGTAGTATGTGTTTGGAGGTTCAAACTGATACCAGTACAGGAATTCTAGATATGAATCCTGCAAGCAGTTTTGACAGAAGATCTCTTTGTGGAGCTAGACTGGTGAAGTCTTGTGAAAAATAGGGGTGTCATCGCACATTTTAACACACCATTGATTTGGCTTCAGCCACGTTCTCTTGCTTCTGGAAGTTCCTAAGGCTGTCTTGCTTACATGAAACATCCTCAGCAAATTCAGTTTTCCTTCTTATTTAACAATAGTTTTTGGGTTGTTTTTTTTTGTCCCCTTTTTCTTTTACCTTTTTATTCAATTTGTTGCCTGTAGGGTAAGCAGTCTTACACAGGGGTTATGGGCAAGTATTTGTGGATCAGAAAAAACAGGAATCCCCCTCTGTGCTCTGTTGCTGTGTGCACTTTGATGGACAAGATGTCAGCCCAAGAATCATTGATTTTTGTAGATGAAATACTAACTTGCCAATAGGTTTTCCAGATTTCCTGGTGTGCTGTATGAATAATGGAGAATTATGCTTAGTGTAAGCACACTGGTTTTGCTTTGGAGACAGAGTAGTGCAGTCATGCAACAGAACAATGAACAAATGTTAATTAAGAAGGGTTTTATCTAATTTGAAGACAATTAATTCACTAGATAGCGTATTTATGAAATTGAGGAACAATCTGAAATAGGATCAGAGCTTGTACTGTGAACGTTAAGTAGTTAATGGGTCTGCTCTTCCTGTGCCTGTGTAAAGTCCTTTCCTTATTCCCAAGTCTTTGATGTAATTTTTTCGCCTTTGAAGGATTCCCATGCAGATTTAGTCCACTTTAAATTCAGTAGGAAAGTGTTTGGCAATTAATAAGATCACTTTCCCTTATGTCTAAATCGGTCTGTTTTCTGAATGTGACAAAAGGAGAGTGAACAAGAAAAGCAGTCGAGGCAAGCCATTTTGTAACTCAGAGAGGCCAACAGGGAGGGAGAGAGAGTCAGCACAGGACTTCTTCTCCTGTATAGCTGAACTGCCCATCCCGTACAACTAAAGGTGTCTCCCCTTTACTCTCCTGAATCTTTCAGGAAAGGATGCAGAAAATCGCTTTTCCGGTGGTGAATTGTCAGAGGAAGTCTATACCTGCCTGCCCTGCAGGGAAGGGTGTTCTTACTGTACAGATGATACTCCCTGCTATGCACAGGAGGACAAGTATTTACGGCTGGCTATCATCTCATTCCAAACGCTCTGTATGCTGCTGGACTTCATAAGCATGCTGGTAGTCTACCATTTTCGCAAGGCAAAGGTAAGCAGACATGTTTTACTTTGATATTCGACTCATGGTGTGGTACGGACTCATTTATGTTATAGCTTCTCATGTTATAACTGACTGAGGCAGTCAGTTTCTCAAGTGAGGAGCTCAACTGAAGGACAGGGTGTGATTTACAAACAGAAATGCTTTGCATTAGGCATGGAGGTACCTAAATTGTTAATGTGTTTTTTGTTTTTTTTTTTTTTGCGGGGTATGTTGGGAATCTGAGCAATATATGTCTCCCACTGAAATCTGCTTACATTTATGGATGATCAGCAAAAATCAAGGAAACTACTGTGTTCAAAGTAGTTTTGGAAAATCAGGCCAATTACATGGGTATCTAAGGAGGCACGTGGGTATTTATAACCTCGGGATCTTGAAAGTCTGGTTTACTGCTGCTGGGAATGATGTTTAGTTTCAATGAATTCGAGAGACTAGCTGGAAGATAATTGTATCAAAGAGAAATCTTTCCAAATAATTCTGGTTCCTAGAGAGTTTAATCTCGATTCCATGGTCAAAGATTTTTTTTTATCTAAAGTGTGAATATACTAAGGAGTGTTTATAAATTGCTCTTGCAGGCTGTGGTTATGTTTTATATACTAACTTAATGAACTTTTTGCTTTTACCTCACTTGGAACCTTCTAACATGTAAGATGCCATAGAATCTCACTGTTGCCTCAGTAAATGCAGAATATTCTCGGAAATTTCCAAATTAGGAAAAAAAAAGAAAAGAAAAAAAAGAAGTAGAAGCTGGTACATATTTGCTACCTGTATTTGGGAGATGTAGATGTGCACACAGTAGTATGCTATGCTGTTGAAACTGATAGCTTCTTTCACTTTCCATAGCTAGATAAGCATTTCCTTTTGGGTTTTTGGTATGCTTGGTCCTGCAGTCCTACTCCTACAGTGTCTGTGTTACAAATGCGTGGTTCATTTTGAAAGACTTTAATATCCTGGCAGGAAATCACAGAATGAGCAGTAAGAGTGTTTGTTTTATTCTCTTCTGTTTCTGACAGTCTTTGTATTTAATGATATTGCATAGAATGATTCAAATGACAGACTTAATTGTATTTATAAAGTTTTCATTGTGAAAGATCTGTTGTAGGCATCTGTTCATTTGCTTAACATTAACTTAGGAGAACTTCATTCCAGTTTTATGAGGTTTTAGTCCACATAGTAATGTAACTCGATTTTAATGTCATAGACATGATCCTGAAAGAAGCATTTCTTGCAAAACTTTACCTTCTAGACCTGCAAAGTGAAACAGAGTAAATCACTTAGATCACTTGATATGCAGGTATTGCAAGTTTGGCTTGATTATTATTTCACACTGAAATATTGATCGTTTTGTAAGAAATTTCTGTGCTTTCTGATACATAGTTAGAGATCTCAGATGAGTAAAATTGCGTACACTCTTGCACTTGCACACTTGTGTCTTCTGATACACGTATCCACTAGAGTAAGAAAAAGATACATCTTTATTAAACATACTACAGAAATCTTGTCTTTCACAAAGCCTGCTAGTAATGAAAGATGCATTTTTACTTTTGTGATGATTAGCCATTTCTCCAAAGTAGGCCATGAGAAAAGAAGCAGATGGGATCTGAATATTTAATACCTAAGTAATACCCCACTGCGCAGGCCCAAAGGGTTTACTCGCACTTGCAGAGCCCTGTAGCGACAGGCGAGGGATGAAATGGCAGGTGATAAGGTGCACTGGAAGCCACAGACCCAACCCCGCATGCAGGCTGTTCAGGACATTGGTCGCTCAAGATTGACCCAGGAGATGACAGTCTTATTTGGCAACATCCTGAATGACCAAGCAGTTTTTTTTTCCAACCGGATTTGCCTGTCCTATGTTGCCCTTTTAGTCATCATTGCACTTGTCATAAGTGTGGGTAAAGCCTTTCCCGAATCTTCGTTCGCGAAGCCAAGCCATAAGTCAATACCAGAGAGGCACATACACACCTTGCCTTGTTTCTAAAGAACTTTTCAGTCTTTATGAAAAAGATTGAGCTTATTTTCTTCTAGATTACTTACATTATAACATCTGAATGAGAGCTGGACATAAAACAAACCCTTTTTTTTTCCAGAAAAGAATGTGATGCCTTTGAGACATTGCATTTCATTCAGTTGAACAGAGATGGATTCATTTATAATTTTGCTACCTTAGAAGAGTGTTCGCTTTGCTTTAACCGTATATCCCACAAGGAAAAGGGGAGGAAAAATGAGACAAAAAAAAAAAAATAAAAATTGGTGATGAACAGTCCTTTCCTGCATGATCAATGTTTTCAAGGAATAGAAACTGATAAATAGATGTTCCATTGCTTTTCATGTCGTTCAGCTGAGTTTTTTTCTTGGATTCCTTTTATGTTCTTTATCTTGTTGGTACAGCATGATTTTAAAGAGAAAAAGATCTTGTGTGATTACCATTAAATGAGAAGCTGTATGGAGGGCAAACACACTGAGAACAATGAGTATTTGCATGAGAAAACTTCTAGTTACATTGGATAATGACACAAATTTGGAGTGAAGTAACTGGTTGTGTACTCTCCGCCAAGGGGGAAGACTAATGAAAGAGCAGATACTGAAATATATTCAAAGTATCTTCATTTTGAGAATTTCCAGCTGGTAGTGAAACAAATTTTAATTAGGTTAGTATATCTGTCTGTGATTAAAGTTACTCTGTTAAACTCCTCATTTCCATTGCGCTGGGTGGTTGTCAGAGAAGAACATTTTTGGGATTCTGTCTTACATATGGCACTATAATATTCAAATAGTTGCAAAAAGTAATTTTTGGTGCAGCTTTCTAACAGAAAGAGCTGCGTACTGCTACCGTATCAAGGAACTATCTTCAGCCTATTAGAAGAGCAAAGGATGTGGGTTAAGAATAATGTATAAGGCCACAGTGCTGGAAAGAATGACGAGTAGATATGTGGCATTTTGGTACATTTATTGATCAGTAAAATGGGCTCAGTAAAATGAGAAGGCAAATGGGATCAGACTACCACTGTAGAAAAGTGACTGTGCAAAACACTACTTAGTGCTTGTAGTTTCTAGAGGCTTCTGGTAAATGTTAACTAAGGTCCTGAGAGGTTACGATCTGCAAACAGAAAGCACCTTGGGAAGAAACACCCCTGGCATTTTGACTGTGATATTGTGAGTATAATTCAGAGAATGATAAGGACCCTTTAGATCATGATGGAAGTGACAACCTTTGTTGCAAAAAATTCAACAGATCAGTAAGAGCAGATGCACATCTGAAGTATTTTAGAGGAGAAATACTTCAGATATTTGTTGCACAGTGGTTACACATATTATGACCAAACAGTACTTAAAAAAGATCTAGTGGTCCTCTTCCAAAGAACATAGAAATAGGAACAGAGATGTTTTCAACAGTTGCTACCAAAGTGGTTCAATGAGTGAAAGATTTTGACAAAATGAATGCTAATAAATAGGCAAAGCCTACATCAAGCCAGATGGCTGGCTTCTAAAAGCAAGCGTTCTCTTTAGAGGAACATTTAGAAGTCTCTGAAGTTTCAGGTCTTTTCTTTCAGCACTTCTGAAGGTTCCTCTAAAGAGTCCTCTTCAGGCTTCTGAAAGAGCTCTGCAAAACTACTGAAGTATTTGCTGTGGAGTGAGCTACTGCTTACATTAATAGCAGTAGAGGAAGAATGGAAGATAGGAAATGTGACATCTGTGTTTACAAAGACTTCCCTTGATGGTGACAAGTACTAAAGATCAGTAGGTCCAACTTACACAACTTGCAAATTCATAGGAATGGTAATAAAAAGTAGAACTACTTGTTCCATGGATGAGTGTGGGAAGTGGGCTTTTGTGAGAATGTGACACCCTACAAATATATTTATGGCTCTGTGAAGGTGGGTTATGAGCATGTGGATATGAGAGTACTTCTGCTAAGGTTTGACACCAAATGCTTTTAAAAATTATGATCTCAAGGGGCCAAGCTACACTTCTTGTAGGTAACCAAGAGATGACTGAGGAAATACGGTATAAAACCATGTAAAACAGAGACATGTTGACATGTGAACAAATATCATGGTTCCTCTTAAGATATCACTAGAGGGTGTTCAAAGCATCTCTCAAGTGGTTAAAAAATATCAAATAGGTGTTTTACAGAACTTGAAGTTGCTATATGTCACTCATAGGCCAAAAATAACATGGATCCCAAAGTATAAATCAATTCAAATAGAGTTTAGAAAGATATTTCCATTATTGGCTGTTGAAACACAGGGTTTTGGTGAAACATCTGGTGCAGGAAGTCCTTAACTTTTATTGTTGGAACCTGGGAGGACAGACGAGAAAGAATCACACTCTGGTATCCTCCTTCTTTAATAATACAGCACAGGGTGTGACCTGAAGTAGGACGGTAGAGTTTAGATTTCATTCCTCTTCTGGACAGCATTGTAGTTACTCATGCAAACTTGCATGTTTGATAAGCGACAAAGCAAAATTCAACTCATTGGACAAGACACAGTTACTCCAAAGTACCACTGGTACCAATGAACAGAGTCTTGGCATTGCTAATCTGTAAATGAAACTGCCAACTAGTGACTTCAAGCAGTAGTCAGCCTTGGCAAACAGCGCAAAATAGAACTGCAGAAAGATCCTGTGAGAAAAGCTCAGATCGATGCCGAGGATTTCATTTGAAGCTTTGTCAAACACAGGTGAAAGTGACTCAGCAGCCCAGGATTAGCTCAGCAGCAGTGTTATTAAACTGCAAGTGTCATAACTGGAGAAAATCACAGGCAGAAAATGTGGCCTTTTGCCGAGAGAAGGGAGAATTCTAAAATGATAAGAATAAAAAAAAAGGAAGAATGAACAGAAGGAGTAGCAGAAGCTAAACCACTAGTGAAAAGCATTGTAGGGAAAGACAGAAAAAGATGAAAAATGTAACAGATAAAGCAGATGCTACTGCTGTAATGGGAAAAGACAAAGCATTTCATCAGGAGAGTAAATTGAGGAAATGTGCC